TGAATTTCCTCTTGGTTTCTTCTTTCACCCACTGATTATTTAGAAGTGTGCTACTTAGCTTCCAAATTTTGGGGCTTTCAAGAGATTTCTCTGTTACTGATTTTGAATTTAATTCTATTGTGATCACTAAACATACTTTGTATAACTCAAATCCTTTTAGACTTACTGAGGTTTGTTTTGGGACCTAGAATATGATCTCTCTTGGTAAATGTTCCACCTGTACTCGAAGAGAATGTTTATCTGGCTGTTGTTGGATAAAGTATTCAATAAATGTCAATTGGATCAAGTTAGTTGATATTTTCTTTTAAAACTGGTTATCTGTACTGATTTTTTTTTTGTCTACTAGTTCGATCAACTACTGAAGTCTCTGACTATAGCTCATGTTCTTTTAAATTAAGGGGAAAGGAAGGCAGGCTCAGTTCACTAACCTCCACTGGAGTCTGTGTGAGTGAGGGTGCTGTGTTACTCCCCAGAGTGACCCAAGGCCCCTTAACACTTGGCTAGGCCCTTTCAGCCACCCACATAAACATGCTGTCTAAATAAACAAAAGTGATTGCTATGAAAACAGCTTTAAGGCAAATCCTGTTTTCATCCCCTGTACTCTCTCTTAACCTTACTGTTTTCCCTGTATTCGTGCTATATATTAATTCTGCAGTTATTCTGTATGACTGCTGGGTGGTAGTATACTAGTGGTGGAACATGGTTCATATCCTTTGATGTGACAACCTACAAAAATATTAAATTATTCCTGAAAATTCTGAGCAAATTCACAGAAAGATATAGATTGTCAAGTTTTTGAACTCAAAAATTGAAGGCATGGTTTAGAGATTAACTGAATCATAGCAGGTGTCAGGGTTCAAGAGGATGCTGAGTTCAGGTGCCAGAACTTTGTCGGAGGAATATGACCAGGTTTTCTATTTTGTCCTCCACGGCTGACAGATAACAGAGATCATTGAGAGCTAAATCCTTTGTACATACTTTTGCAAATCTAACTACCTCACAATATTTTGAATGTTTATTTTAAAACTTACTTTGAATAATAAATTGATACATCTTAAAAATTCACATCAGTGTTTAGGTCAGAGAGATTTCATGGAGTTACTATTTATAGATTGTTAAAGACACCTCTCCAGGCAATGTCAAGGCTGTTGTATGTGGACAGTTTCTTGAATTATAGCACAGAAACTTTAATACCTACCCCAGGAATGACGGGGATCTTAAATAGGCAGTCATATTTACTAAAGAAACCTAGAGTTTTCTTAGATTGCCAACCTTAGTAAGACAAGAAATGTCAGGGTGACAGAGTTTAAGTGGCTCTTTTCAGATATATTACACTGATCTCTATATTTAAGATGCAAAACAGCCTCCCAAAAGCTATTTAATTAAGTGAAAGTAAGTCTAGTCCCTTTGGAACCAAATGGTTCAGCGAGCAAATACACATCAGCAAGTGAAGGAGGTGGAGGAGGTTATTATGTGCTTCATAGACACAGTGACACATTATAACCCTATATCAGAGATCCTAAACAGTGATTGGTTGAGAAAATGATCAAACTGAGTTTAAATTTCGGCAGGTACAAAATTATTTTGCAAAAGTCCAGGACAGTGTGCTATTCAGTCTTCAAAGAAAAAGATAAGAAATTCTGGATTTTCAAAGTTCCTTTGAAGGCTTTTAAGGTAAGATGAAACATCCTTTTTATTCAGGACCAACAGATGCCTTTAGAGAGAAGTTTGAATTTCAGAGAACCCAACTAGATTTTAAGAAGTGAATAACCCTGTATGATTAGATTTCCCCTCCCCTTTTGACTCATCAAATCAACAGTTTGTATTAAAAGATAATGGAAAATTATATGGTAAGAAATACTAATTCAATCTAGCAAAATATTGCATTGCTGAAGGAGAGGTGTGTTTTTCACATTTGTTAATAGAAAGAGTATATATAAGATGAAGCAAATACTTTAAATCTAACAGATTGTTATCTTTTACGTATAATTCAGTAAAGTTCCATTACCATTATTTTTATCCAGAAAAACCATTTTTAAGAACCTCAAGTCTGGTTAAACCCATATTTTAGACTCACCATTGCAATGTAAGATGTGATGGGACTGAGTGAAAAAAGACAAGAAACAATCTCTTCCTCTTTTAAATAGTAACAACACTAACATTTAAACACAAACTTTTTAGAGTAATAAACATGAATTTGATTTAACACATTATGTTACACTTATTTCAAAGTCTGTCTAACCCACTCAGTGATAAACTCACATCTGTTTCTAGGGCTTAGTATGTGGCCCACATTAAGCCTTCAAATGTTTGATGAATGAATGAATGAATGAATGGATGAATCTAAGTTTCCATTTAACTTGTTGGTCCCTAAAAAATTAACTTTTGACTTAAAAAGTTATTTTTTTCCAGTGGACATTAGAGTTGTAAAGCTAAATTAAAAACACTTCTACTTAGAATATCTAGAGAGTTTAGCTTTTTTTCACACTCCTGCATTCTACGATATGATGGGTTTGAAAAAAGAAAGACATATTACTAAAAAGTTGGCAAACTAACACATGGAAATTATTGGAAATTACTTTGATAATTATCAAAATGGAAATTTGATAATTATGTGGTTGCTTTGGTTAGTTTCAATAAGAAATTAGATAACTCAGATTTTAAAAATCCAGCTTGGACTTTCAAACAGGGCCTAATTGGGCTTTGCTTTTCACTTAAAAAAATTGTCCAAGATACTTAGGTATTTTCTAAACCTCATTTCCTTTGTGGCGATACGTGAAACAATCTGAAGGTGGTTATGGAAAGCCAGAGTATGTATGTATGTATGTATGTATGTATTATTGTTGCTCTATTACAGTTGTCCCAATTTTCTCCAGTTGTTCTCCCCTACCCCACCCACCCCGCTCCCATAGTAAATCACCACCCTGTCGTCCACGTGCATGGGACATTTATACCTGCCCCTTGACTAGACTTTTGGAGGTTCTCACACTTCCTAAGCCTTTGCTTTCAGACCGACAAAACTGAGGCTATTTCTGTAGGAGTCTTTCAAGCCATTTAGTGATGAGCATCATTGGAGTGTATCTGAAATGAAGCTCATGTGGTCAGATTTCTGGATTGCAGTTTAGAAATGGGCTGCACACGACCCTGGCTTTCACTATGAGCACATTTCCAGGACACCATGGCTCTTCCAAAGCACAGTGTAGATGGGCCTTCTGCAGAGTCTGTATAATAATTAGATGTGGGGTTACAAAGAACCATGTAACCCCTGTGTACTGAACAGCTGCCCTTCAACATCTTTGTCCAGAGCTCTGCATTATACTTGTCCTGAGGTCACCTCAGCCTCATTTTTAACCTATAGCATTGTGGAAACAGGTCTTGGCTTTCTGCTGAGCAGCTCTAGGAGTAAGCGCTTTTGTTTTTCTCTCAGTAGAACTGTGTCCTCTTTCCTGTAAATAAATACTAATAACTCTATGGCAGTTGATGTTCACTGAGATTTTATGTTTTCACTATCAATGTTAAATTCAATAAAGGCTATTTAGTAACAAGCAGCATTATAATCTACAAATCCAGTGGGAGTTCATGAAATAGGAATAAAACTCCCCCTTCCTTTCTATGGTAATGGTATCATTACATCAAACAATCCAATTTACAGTAAATAGAAATTTAAAATTTTGATTTACATGGGCTATGCAATGCCTATTCCAATGTATTAAAACATATATTAGACCACTTCCAAATGTGAGTTTTAACAGGAATAATGGATCTTATGTTTAGAATGCCACCGTAATAATTGCTGTCATTTATTACTAGATTACTAAGTACTCAGGACAGTGTCCGGTATTGCTTATACTAGTAAATACTTATTCATCAACAATATTCAAAAAACGTGTTTTTCTGTGCTGTGTATTGGAATGCAATGACTATCAAGACATTCTCCTGGGTCTCAGGAGCCCTCAGTAGGGCAGGGAAAAATGTAAGTAACTGGGTTATTTCGAAACAGCATAATGTTACCAGTGAGGTGTACAGAGCTGCTGGGTGGAGAGAGAGAGAGAGAGATAGACAGAAAGAGACCCTCTGAAATGGAGTCAGAAAAGACTTCTCAGAGATTTTTCTACTGAGATAGTAGGGAAGACTCTGAAATGCAGGAATTATTATTATTATTATCCCAGATGGAGGAAACAGGCTTAATATAGTGCTTAAATTTCTCCAACTCACACATCAAGTAACAAAAGTAGAATTCAAACCCATGTCTGTAAACCCAAACTCTATGTTCTTTCCATTAATTTAGGCTCCCTCACATCTGTCCCTTACAATCTATAATAGCCCAATTGTATGAATTTGGAGAGGGGATGGTAAGTATTTCATCTTTTAGGCACAATCTTGGCACAATCTTAGCACAATTAGTTAACTCTTGATTTAAACTATTCAGAAGAGCCCTGGCTGGTGTGTCTTGGTGGACTGGGTGCCAGCCTGCAAACCAAAGGGTCAGCAGTTTGATTCTCAGTCAGAGCACATGCCTGATTCTCAGACCAGATCCTCAGTAGTGATGTGCGAGAGGCAACTACACATTGATGTTCCATCCCTCTCTTTCCCTCTCCCTCCCCCCTCCTCTGTTTAAAAATAGATAAATAAATCTTTAAAATAAAAAAAACTATTCACAAGAGAGATTATTACCATTAAGAATAGTGGAAGGACAAAATTATGATTATGAATTTGTAGCTGCATGGCTGTTTCCCTTTCCTGGCAGAGACAAAGTCTAGGTGGCTACATCGGTGCTGAGTCTAATGACGCCCCGCACACCTCCACAAACAGTCCAGGTATCAGGAACATTGAGTCTTGACAGCCACCTTCTCATATTTGATAAATATTCCTTGTCCAGGAGAAAAGCAAATGCTTACAAACCAAATATTATATTACTGTAGTTATTATCTTTTGCTTTATAAGTAATGTTGTGCCATTCTTTTTTTAAAAACAGCCATTAACTAATATTTCTAAAGAAAATGAGGATAATCATATATTTTTGCATTTGGGCAGCAACATGGGCCATTCCAGTAAGTATGCCTTCCTTAAAAAAATTTATATATATATATATGTGTGTGTGTGTGTGTGTGTGTGTATACACACACATATGTATGACTATGTGTCTGTGCATAAACTGAACCTAAACATTTAGATTTGCATGAAAGACTTGACAAGATAACTCTGGGGTCTCCCCAAAACCAAACATGACTTCAAATTCATGCTCCCATTTCTCCAATCAAAATTCATGTTATTCAGAAAGATTCTTATTTAAAATTCACTGAGATCAATTTACATTCAATGCTCAGAAATCATGAAGATTTTGTTCATCTTTGCTCATGTGTTCTGAACTTCACTCCAGTATCAGTGAGCCTGTATTCTTTAGGAAGTTTTCAAGAAAGAAAAATAAGAAAAAAGAGAACATTTTTTTACATCAGAGAAAACTAATATTTTACTCAGAAACATAATTTTTTATATGCTCACTGTAGGAAATTTGGAATATACAGATAAACACCAACAAAGAATAATTAACAAAATACAACCATTTATATATAATTTTATTAGCCAGCTGCTATGGTTAACATTTTGATGTGTTTTCATAATACCAAACCATTTGGTATTTATATAGTTGAGAATTTTCTCAGCTATTTCAAATGTGCTCTTGAGAACACAGAAGTAGCCTGCTACTTGATTTTCTTATGCACTGGCTCTGGTCATACCAACTGTTCTAGAGGCTTTGGGTGTGTTTATCCCTAGTGGGGTCTGGTACTTTGCAAAAGGCTTACTATACAGAAATATCAAAAGTCTATCTTTTCATCTTTAGAAAAGACTGTTCCTCTTCTGTAGTTGAGATAAATGGTCTGGTTAATTCTTCAATAAAATTGGTAACACTGTTGTGAAAAAATATCTGTATGCCAGATTAAACCCCACATCAGCTCTGTAGAAAGTCATTTTTCTTTCTACCTGATTAAAGCATACTTTGGCCTTTGTGCTATATCTTTTTTTCTTTATTTAGGGAAAATGTGTGTCTGTGGTCTGTGCATGTGGATGTGCACAAAATAAGAATGTTTTCAATTTTGTTAGGTTCCTCAGATCAAGCCATTGGAGAGATATGCTGTTGGCGAATCTGTGAATTTAAATCTCCCAGCAAAATCAAAAGTGCCAATACAGGTATAGGATATAAAATGTGGTTCTAAAGTGTTTTTTTTTTTTTAAGTTTCCATTACCTTCCAAAAAATTGATGCTTATCTTTTCAGTTTATGTTACTTCAAGATGATATTCACAATTTATTTTGATTTATTTTCAGGATGAGCTAAATGCTAATGATACCACCAAAGAGAGTGGTGTCCCCATGCATGAAAGAGAAATGGGAAGGCAACAGTATACCAAAGATGGTTACAAAGTAGAGAGAAATTGTTCTGAGTGGGCAGATGTAGGAGGGAGAAGTTCTTCTACACATTCCATGTTAGTAAATGAAGAAAAGCATCCTGAGGATCAGAATGGGGGCACAGGAAGACCAGAAACATATGGTCATGCTGGGTTACATGGAAAGGAAGAGAGCACCACCGCCAATGGTCTTAGGGGACAAGTAAGCATTATTGACAATACAGGAGCAGCAAATGGGAACGATATTAATGAAAATAATGATAAGAATTCAAAGAACAGGACTGTTGAAGATGCCAGTCAGAGTGAGAATGCCACTGTTTTTGAAAAAGATGCACATCAAGTTGCTGGAAGCAGTAACAGTACAGGCCGTGAGGATGAAACAAATGGGGATTCCTGTAGAAATGAGGGTGCCACATGTGAAGTAACACCTCAGAAAGAAAGTGAGAGAAATGGTCATGAGGAGGCAGGAGAAATACCAGGGGGAAGTGGAGTCGGCAATAGAGAGGATGCTGGCCTGGATAATCCTGATGGGAGTCCCAGTGGGGATGGAGAAGATGAGGATGAAGACAAGGGCTCTGGTGATAATGAAGGTGAAGAAACAGGAAATGGAAAAAAGGACACTGATAATAGTAAGGGCCAGGAGGGTCAGGGTCATGGAAAAGAAGATGACAATGATAATAGCTTAGGTCAAAATTCAATTAGTAGTGAAGATGATGATGCTGCTGATGAAGAAGATGCCCAGCGCATGGATGGAAACAATGCCTCCAAGAGTGAAGAGGATTCCGATGGTATTCCAGAAGGAAATGATAGCAAAAGAATAGAGAACACCCAAAAACCCAATCACAGAGAAAACAATGATGTGGAAAATGGAATTACCAAAGAACCAGAACCAAATACTAATGGGAGGAGCCAAAATAAGGTTAGTTTGTGAAGCTGATTTTAAATGATAGTTTAAAATTTCCCTTCCACCCCACTAATGGTATCATAAAAAAATCATGACAGATATTTGTGTATTTTTTGCATCTAAATTTTTTGAGCATTGAATGGGAAAGCCAGAGTCCTTACCTGACTTTGATATAAAACAATTTTAAAAATTAGACATTTTTGAAAATTTGGTTATAGTTCTGGAAAAGTCTTATGTTAAAAAATGGCTGTACCATGTAATGGTTTATCAAAATTCCTACTGGGTAAAAAAGTGAGTGGGTTGTTGTGTAATCTAAACACTAGAGAACTTTCAAGTGCTGAATAACACACATTTGCTCAAACAGTTGTTTCTGGACTCCCGGAAGTTGAACTTCTGTTTCTCTGGTCACTTTCCTCAGTCAGTCTTCATATCAATGCAATTTTGCAGTGTAACTTTCACTAAGTAACCATGCCTTTATTCATTTTTCCACAGAGAACAGACATTGAAGTTCCCAGCAGTGGCAACAGAAACAATATTACCAAAGAAGCTGGGAAAGTCAACAAAGAGAAAGAGAGCAAAGCACAACATGGAATAATTGTGGGCAATGGAAATGTTAAGACACAAGGAGAGGTTGACAACATGCCAGGGCCTGGCCAGAACTCAGAACCTGGAAGTAATGTTGGACACAGCAGAACAGGTAGTGACAGTAACAGTGATGGATATGATAGTTATGAGTTTAATGATGAATCCATGCAAGGAGATGATCCCAGTAGCAGTGATGAGTCTAATGGCAATGATGATGCCAATTCTGAAGGTGACAATAATAGCAGTAACCAAGGAGATATATCTTATAACTCAGTTGAATCAAAAGATAATGACAATGACAGTGACTCAAAAGGAGAAAAAGATGCTGAAAATGACAGCACATCAGATGCTAATTATAGTGACAGTAATGGCAATGGTAATGATGAGAGTGATGATAGCAAATCAGACAGCAGCAAAGATAAATCAGACAGCAGTGACAGCAAATCGGGTAGTGACAGCAGTGACAGTAGTGACAGCAGCGACAGTAGTGACAGTAAATCAGATAGCAGTGACAGTAGTGACAGCAGCAACAGCAGTGACAGCAGTGACAGTAAATCAGATAGTAGTGACAGCAGTGACAGTAGTGATAGCAGTGACAGCAGTGACAGTAGTGACAGTAAATCAGATAGCAGTGACAGCAGTGAAAGTAAATCAGATAGCAGTGACAGTAGTGACAGCAGTGACAGTAGTGACAGCAGCGACAGCAGTGACAGCAGTGACAGTAAATCAGATAGTAGTGACAGCAGTGACAGTAGTGACAGCAGTGACAGCAGTGACAGCAGCGACAGTAAATCAGATAGCAGTGACAGTAGTGACAGCAGTGACAGCAAATCAGATAGCAGTGACAGCAGTGACAGCAAATCAGATAGCAGTGACAGTAGTGACAGCAGTGACAGCAGTGACAGCAAATCAGATAGCAGTGACAGTAGTGACAGCAGTGACAGCAAATCAGATAGCAGTGACAGCAGTGACAGCAAATCAGATAGCAGTGACAGTAGTGACAGCAGTGACAGCAGTGACAGCAAATCAGATAGCAGTGACAGTAGTGACAGCAGTGACAGCAAATCAGATAGCAGTGACAGCAGTGACAGCAAATCAGATAGCAGTGACAGTAGTGACAGCAGTGACAGCAGTGACAGCAAATCAGATAGCAGTGACAGTAGTGACAGCAGTGACAGCAAATCAGATAGCAGTGACAGCAGTGACAGCAAATCAGATAGCAGTGACAGTAGTGACAGCAGTGACAGTAGTGACAGCAAATCAGATAGCAGTGACAGCAGTGAAAGTAAATCAGATAGCAGTGACAGTAGTGACAGCAGTGACAGTAGTGACAGCAGCGACAGTAAATCAGATAGCAGTGACAGTAGTGACAGCAGTGACAGCAAATCAAATAGCAGTGACAGTAGTGACAGCAGTGACAGCAAATCAGATAGCAGTGACAGTAGTGACAGCAGTGACAGCAAATCAGATAGCAGTGACAGCAGTGACAGTAAATCAGATAGCAGTGACAGCAGTGACAGCAGTGACAGTAGTGACAGCAGCGACAGTAAATCAGATAGCAGTGACAGTAGTGACAGCAGTGACAGCAAATCAGATAGTAGTGACAGCAGTGACAGCAGTGACAGCAGTGACAGCAAATCAGATAGTAGTGACAGCAGTGACAGCAAATCAGATAGCAGTGACAGTAGTGACAGCAGCGACAGTAAATCAGATAGCAGTGACAGTAGTGACAGTAGTGACAGCAGTGACAGCAGTGACAGCAAATCAGATAGCAGTGACAGTAGTGACAGCAAATCAGATAGTAGTGACAGCAGTGACAGCAGTGACAGTAAATCAGATAGCAGTGACAGTAGTGACAGCAGTGACAGCAGTGACAGCAAATCAGATAGCAGTGACAGTAGTGACAGCAAATCAGATAGCAGTGACAGCAGTGACAGTAAATCAGATAGTGACAGTAGTGACAGCAGTGACAGTAAATCAGATAGCAGTGACAGCAGCGACAGCAGTGACAGCAAATCAGATAGTAGTGACAGCAGTGACAGCAGCGACAGCAGTGACAGTAGTGACAGCAAATCAGATAGTAGTGACAGCAGTGACAGTAAATCAGATAGCAGTGACAGCAAATCAGATAGTAGTGACAGCAGTGACAGTAGTGACAGCAAATCAGACAGTAGTGACAGCAGTGACAGTAGTGACAGCAAATCAAACAGTCACAGCAGTAACAGCAGTGAAAGCAGCGACAGTGCATCTGACAACAGTGATGAAAGTGCCAGTAAGAGCAAGTCTGATAATGGCAAGAACAATGGGAGTGACAGTGACAGTGATAGTGACAGTGAAGGCAGTGACAGTAATCACTCAACTAGTGATGACTAGAATAAAAGAAAACCCCACAATATTTCTTTTATGAAAATTATGGTGAGTGATAGGAAATAAAGATTTCCAAGAAAATGAGAGAGGAGAAATAAACAGAAGATACGCATTCACAGAAAACAAAGGGAATTAAGTCAAACTGGTGCATTCAGTCCAAGCCTCAATTCCCTCAGAGAAAGGATCCAAATGTTCGACGTTTTGTACATGTGTGTTAAAATATATTCTGAAAATATTTTGCTAAAAGTGTAAATCTAAACATAAAGTTAAGTATAAACTAAATATAAAAGGACGATTAAAATATTCTTTAATACTTTACACAGAAACCTCAAGTAATCACGTAGAGCATGACAACTTCAATTGAAATACCAAGTGCTTTAGAGAATGTGGCAAGTAAACAAACACACAAACAGCTTGTGGCTTTGCCTTAATCTTTTGAGTAATTACATGTTCTGAATAGATGGTCACTGCTGAGTAAAAGATGCTGCAACTATATCCGCTTGACTACTGATTCATTTACTTGTTCTAGGAAATGCACCTGTAACATAAAAAAAGCAGCAATAATTTAACCTTTCTGGACCATGGGAATAATCTTTGTAATTATTGAATGGAGTAATTCCAAATTAGGAAAATTCTAAAGAGTGTTAGAGAAGACTTCAGAGGCTGATTTAAACAAAATCTGACATGTAGTATCACATCCCTGAAAACCACTGGAAATTTAGCATAAAGTGCCTGAAACTATTGACAAATCTGATGCAGTGCTTAGATCAGTGTCTTACTGCCACTAGCCACTCTCCAAATAGTAATAAATAAATGAAGACATGAATGGGAACTCAGGGGGGCAGGTGTTCAATTTTTGAACTCTGTGAAGTGAAAAAGTTGTTTTCTGCCTCAGTCTCACCAATTCAAACTTGGTTCACATTTGCCTTTTAAACCCCCCACAAACCAAAACTTCTAAATCAGACCTTGAGACTCTCTCCTCACTATCAATCTCTTTCACAAAACCAAAAGGTGCTGGTGAGTAGTGCTTGGAAACTACTCACTTTCATTTGAGTCATATTTGCAGCTAAAATCTGAGCATTGATCATTCAGTCACCCTCTCTGCATGAATGAAGGTGATTTTTATTTTGAAGATGAAACCCAAACACTAGGACATGAGGATCCTGAAGACTGGAGATACTTCATAGGGTGGAGATATAATTTATTACCCTAGGATATACATTTGTATATCTCTGAAAGTAAAGAATACTTTTTTAAAAAAGGAATGCTATCAATAACCACAGGAGGTGTAAATTGGAATTGTCCACAGACACTGGGAAGTATAATGACCATAGACAAAATTTCAGGGCATTTTTTCAAGATTTAGTAGTGATGATTTATCATTTTCCTCTTTTTTCACTTGGACAATTATTTTACGTTTGTACTCATTTAAAGGTAAAAATCTGTCAAGCAAATTTTTGATGCAACTTCTTTAATGTTTCTTTTCAATCAGGCATTGATTGACAATTTATGTTCTACAATTAGGCATCTTTTATGCCAAGAGTTTCAGTAGGTTGTTTTTTGTTTCTTTTCTCCTGTATGCAAGAGTTTGTCAAGAGATCAATATTGAAAGGAATACTTCTGAAGGCTTTAAAAATACTGCTATTTATAAACTATGTGATAACTCAAAATACTGTGAAATTTCTGGTTTCAATAGATCACAGTCATGTAAATCACTCCAAACTTCTTTTGCAAAAATATACTCTAGATTTTGAACTCCTTTAAACTCCAGGGTTTAAAAAGTTTCATGAAGTATGGCTTCTAGTAAGCACTCAATCAGGTAATGGGTATGAAACTCTCTATAAGTTCTACAAGATATGTAAATAAAAGAGATAATGAATTTTGGTTTTATAATAAATATCTATTTATATGACTGTTCACAAGGTAATCTCCCTTTATCTCATGAGTTTGCAAGTACTTACTCCCTCCATCACAAGTTTAACTATTGATATATTTTTAAAGTATAGATTTATTTTAAAGATTTTATTTATTTATTTTTAGAGAAAGGAGAAGGGAAGGAGAAGAGAGGGAGAGAAACATCAATGTATGGTTGCTTCTCATACATCCCGTACTGGGGACCTGGCCTGCAACCCATGCATGTCCCCTGACTGGGAATCAAACCGCGGTTGTTTGGTTCGCAGGCCTGGGCTCAATCCACTGAGCTACACCAGCCAGGGCTAAATATATTTTTAAAATTATTGTTCAAGTACAGTTGTCTCCATTTTCCCCCCACTACTCCACCCCATGCCCCACCTATCCCACCTCCCACCTTTGAACCTACCCCCTTTGACTTTGTCCATGTGTTCTTTATATGTGTTCCTTAATGGACTTTCCCTATTTTCCCCCATTACCTCCTCCACCCTGCCTTCAGACCTGTTGCAGTCTTTTCTACTTCTCAGCCTCACTCAAAATAGCAGCTTTTGGGTCACTGAGTAAATGGGACAGAGTAACACACGCAAATGGAGACTACAGCACTTCCCAAATCCAAAGAGGCCCACGAGGCATTATGCCTCTTTCTGGGTTATAGGACAAACCAGATGAAGAAACTTATCTTTCCTCTTAGAAAGGATATTTCAACATGCTCCACACCACACAACCCCTAGAAATTCCACTGAGGTCCTGAATTTTAGTAAGGCCTCTGAATTTTAGTGAGATTTATATTCCACCCTCTGACACACAAATGCCTTTCTAATAAATCTAAAGTAGTTGCTACTTCTTGTTCACCTTTCCAGTCAGAACAATGTCATCAATGCATCAGTGCAATGGACCATATGATACCTTGTGAAATGGAAAGGCAATCAAGATCCCAGCAAAGTGAATTATGACATAGGGCTGGAGGGTTGATAGGTACAGTGAAGGTACAAAGTGAAAGTATATTGCTGGCCTTACCAGATTCAAGGAAACTGCTTCTGGTCATCTTTATGGACAATGAAGGCACTTGCCAGAGCAATGATGCACATCAGGTACCATGGATGTGTCAATTAGCTCAAGCACTGAACCACACCTGGTGCAGCACCTGCAACAGGAGTCACCATCTGGTTAAATTTACAATAATCCATGGTCATTCTCCAATATCCATTTGTTTTCTGCTCAGGTCGAATAGGAGAGTTAAATGGGGATGTGGCGGGAATCACCACTCTTGAAGATTTCAAGTCCCCGTTGGTGGCATTAATCTTTGTAAACCCTCCAGGAAAACAGCATCACTTTTTTTCTTTTTCATTGTTGTTCAGTTAGAGTTGTCTCCACTATCCCCCCTTAATCTCCTCCACCCTACCCACCCCAACCTCCTGCATTCAATCTAACCCCACTCAATTGTCTCTGTCCATGGGTCCTTTATACATGTTCTTTGATGACCCTTCCCCTTCATTCCCCTATTATCATCCTCCCCCCTCTCTTCTGGTCACTGTCAGTTTGTTCTTTATTTCCATGTCTCTGGTTCTTTTTTACTTGCTTGTTTTTTTGTTCATTAGGTTCCACTTATAGGTGAGATCATATGGTGTTTGTCTTTCACTGCCTGGCTTACTTCACCTAGCATAATGCTCTCCAGATCCAACCATGCTGTCATTGTATTTCATTTTGTAAACTGCCATAAGTATGATTTCTTCCTATATTTCCATTACTTTCTAAGCCATCCACGCAAAGAACTCTGCAGAGCACCAGAATCTAATAACCCAAACTGGATACATTTTCAGATAGTTCTTATTAAGACTTCATCTTAAGAAGTATTTCTGGGGGTGGAAGATTAGAGTCTAGAGCAGATTTCAGTAAAAATGAAGGAGAGACTAAGGTCCTGATTTACTAATATAACAGTTCTGGCATTATTAGCCTCTGAACCATCAAGGCAAAAATGGAGACACTTGAAAAGAATGTCACAAGAATAGATTCTTTGTACACTTCGAAGTCTGGTGTTAGAAAACAATATTGGTTGGGGTTAGCTTCTGGAATAAAGATTAATAAAATATCTGTTAATATTGCCCATGAAAGTAGTATTTTTAAACTTGCAGGATGTCACTCATTAAGTAAGTCACTATATCAGTTTAGTGACTTATGACTGTTTTGTAAAACAAAAGAGTAATAAGGAAAAAACATAGTGTCTTATATGTAATGTTTTGTGACACTTCATATTTACATCTGTATACACAAATATGTCTAAGTATGCTCATACCTGATGTAAAATGTCATTCTGACTATTGGTTGCAGTATAAAATATTTAAAAACCATTGATTTGGAAAAGCATTGTAAAACATTATAACCATTAGTAATCATTTTATATTTCCTTTTCACACTATGTTTCTCCTTACATCTAAGTTTCTTTTCCACTTTTGAAGGAGCAGTTAAAAAATAAACAAAGAAATAGTGGTATATATGTAGAAGGGGTGGGGTGAGAGTGGTGGTGGGGTTGGCCTTCAGTATTTATTTGTGCCAAAGTAAATGAGCTGAGGTAACATTGCCATCTTTTGAGCAAGAGACTATCACACTGGCACTGGTGGTACTGGCTGGAAGGTCATGATTTCTTTTTGGTTGCATGGGTTACTCCACATATGACTGAAAATGCATAATCTTTAAATTTTTAAACTGAAATTATTGGGGCGACATTGGTTAATAAGATCATAGAGTTTTTCAGGTGTACATTTCTATGATACAAGATCTGTATATTGCACTATGTACCCACCACCCAAAGTGAAACCATCTGAAAATGCATGATCTCAAAACTAGCTTTCAGAGGTCATTTTATTCTCAGAAGTCATCTTATTCTTCCCACCTGACCCTGGAATTCCTTCCACACCTGCTCATACTACAAATCAGGAAAGGTAGAAAGTGGTTTTGTTTTATTTTTTTGCTATAAAATCTACTTCTTAAAATAGATTATAAAAAGATAACCTTTAGAGAGACATACCTCACCATATAAATACATTTTAAGTTAACTGGAATGGAATTTCCCAGAAGTCAAATTTGCTTTATGGTTT